CACCTCGGCCAGCGAAGGAGAGAGAGGGTTAACGTTAACTGCACGAGGCCCACTCTAGCCTTAAACTCTGCAATGCAAACCCTTCCCTTGGAGGCAAAACAAACATGACAAGGAATTCTGAGGTCAGAGGACAAGAACCACAAGTTCCCTAGTGGGAGACTGATGAGGCAGTGTCCTTCCTGCCCTTGGTCTACTGGCTAAGAACCTTCCTCAGCCTGGCTTTTCCACATTGCACTTTCAGCTCTGTTTGCAATTTTCTTCCCTTAGTGCTGAGGGAATCCCAGTGTTTGATGCTGAAATCCATAGGTTCCTAATGGGTGGTTCAAAGAAACCTCAGCGAGAGAAGCAGAAAATGTTTCCTCTTCCTGAAAAACTGTAGAAAGGCAGGCACCATTCCTGGTAAGGATGTGGTCCTTGCAAATGTCTTTTTTATGTTTTATTTTATTTTGAGACGAAGTTTTGCTCTTGTCACCCAGGCTGGAGTGCAGTGGTGCAATCTCTGCTCACTGCAACCTCCACCTTCCGGGTTCAAGTGATTCTCCTGCCTCAGCCTCCCGAGTAGCTAGGATTACAGGCACCACAATTGGCTAATTTTTTATATTTTTAGTAGAGATGGGTTTTTGCCATGTTGGCCATGTTGGTCTCGAACTCCTGACCTCAGGTGATCCACCCGCTTCAGCCTCCCAAAGTGCTAGGATTACAGGAGTGAGCCACCGCGTCCAGCCTGCAAATGTCTTTAAAGACAGCATGTTTCAGAGGCTGTAGCGGTGCCCTGTGAATGTGCCAAATCTTGCAGTCCCAGGAGCTCTGAGGGGCAGGCCAGGCTCCTTGCCAGGCTGATGGTACTAAAACCCTGCTCTCCAAGACATAACCTGATGGCCCTGCAAGATGTCTTAATCGACTGTGGACCGTGAGAGTCTGCATCTCATTTTAATTAAGACAGGAAAAGAAAGAACAAAAGAGCAACTCCCAGGTTATAGAGAAACTGGATTTTAGTATAATATTCAAGTGTGGCATTGCTGATAATAACAAACATTTCCCCTCCCAAATGGTAAACACTTGCACTGCCTATTATACAAAAATTCAACCACCCTCTCTGTTCCCCCCATATCTCCTCACCAGTGACCCCCCTCTCATGCGGCCTCCTGAGACTGGCCAGTGGTGAATGGCACTTTCAGGGGCATGAGACTCCACGTGAGTGGGACTCAGGTGGGCTCCCTCTCCACGTGGGAGCTGGAGAAGCTGCCCTAGTACCAGCTGAAAGTGTCTGTGGCATCCCTGCCACTAAGGTAGAGGCCACCTCTGAACTGGTCTCGGGGTGTGAGCCGCTGCTGGTAGTGGGCTCTGCCCTGAGGGCCTGGTGGCTGGTCGGAAGGGCAGACACACACGGGTACCTCCCCAGAGACTCAGACCACCTGCCCACCACAGCCCCTGCACTGTGTGCTCCAGGCATGTGCTGAGTGCCTGGTCAATCGCCAGGGCCCTATTGATCCCAGCCTCCCGAGAGATGATTTAGTGTCACTCCACAGAGGGGGAAACTGAGGCCCAGAGAAGTAAGATGACTCTCCCCAGTCACGGGGCTGGTCAGCAGTAGGGTTGGAGGCTAGTCCCTTGCTGTCTGACTCCCTGAGCCCATCCATAGCCCAAGGCAGCCAACCTCTGCCCGCCCTGGTTCAGGCCCTGACTGGCCCCTGTGGTGGGTGATGTCTGTCTTCCTGGCCTTTGTGCTCCCAGCCAACTGGGAGGGAGCCGCTAGCTGGCATGACAGGTTGTAGCTACAGACAGAAGGGTGGCTGTGAGGCTACCAGGAGTCTCACCAGGGCCCCCTCCCAGGGCCTGTCCAGAGTGAGGTCTGGGTATCCCAGGCATTGCCAGACGGGTCTGATGCTGACCAAGAGGCCATGGCCACAGGCTTTCTGAGGCGGGCCCTCAGGGAGAATACAATCCTACTGTCCCAATTCCTGCCCTGGCCTTACACAGTCTCACCAAGCTGCTTTATGGTCCCAAACCAGGACCTAAGTGCTGCTTGGGCCCGAGGTTGTAATTATTTGCAGCCAACTGGAACAGTGGACCTTCTTGGTTACTTTGCATTCCTGGGGCTAGAGGGAAAAACGGGGTGGTGACAGGGCCTGGACAGGGATGCCAGAGGGGCCCGGTGGGGGTGCTGGATGGGGTGATGGCCAGTCTTTGCTCATAGGGAACTCCCTCCTCCTCTCCAGTCCTGTCCAGACCCCACCTGTTCTCAGAGCTGGCTCAAACAGCCGCTCCTCCAGGAAGGTGTCCTTGGTTTCAACCTGGTACTCCCACCCGCCAGTCTTCCTGGCGCATCTCCTCCTTCCCTCTGTATCCCCATAAATCTAAGATGAGGGGGATGGATCTGCCTACTGCTGCTCACCTTATGACTCTTGTGAGGTTGATCAGTCTCCCCTGGAAAGCTGATAACTGAAGTCCATCAGAAAAGGTTCTCTGGCCCAGAGCCAGCCCCTGCCCACCCCGTCATACTGCACCCAGGATGCAAGACCCAGGTCAGGTCTGGGTGACAGGAGGGCGATAAAGGGGCTGAGGCTCAGGGGCCTTCTAGCCTAACCTCTCTGGAGACAGCTGGGGAAACTGAGATTCCAAGCAGGAAGGTATGGCTCCAAGAGACTATTCTCATTAACCTGGAACATTTTTGCAAGCTGTTAGGTATAGGAAGTCTGTCACAGGTAAGAGAAATGCTTTTCGAGGGCATGAGAGACAGCAGGGTTGTGACAATATTGAAGCACCACTGTGCAGGTTCACCAATTGCCACCACCAGGAGCCCCCTGAGAGCCATTGCAGATGCATGGCCCTACCCTGCAACCCCTGGACCTCCCCATGGTCTGG